GGAGGATGTACCTTGGTGTATGCTTTTCGTTGATGATATCCTTTTTGTGGATAAGACTAGAGAAAGAGCTCAACAAAAACTTGAATTATGGAGGTCTACATTGGAGTCTAAAGGCTTTCGTTTGAGTAGAACTAAAACTAAATACATGGAATGTAATTTTATTAGTAGTTGCTTTAGTGGCAGAGTTGTAACTATGAGTGATCAAATCATTAAAAAGGTGTGAATGTTTTAGATATCTCGGGTGTATTGTTCAAAGTGATGGTGATATAGATGGGGGATGTTATTAGTAGAATTCAAGTAGAGGAATGAATCGGGCCTATTGTGTGATAGAAAAGTACCGCTTATACTGAAAGGAAAATTTTATAAGATGGTGATGAGACCTGTAATGCTCTATGGCACAAAATGTTGGCCTTTAAAAGAAAGTTACGTGTTGCTGAGATGAGAATTCTCAGTTTGCATGTTTCTCAAGTTATTATAAATTTAAGTATCTCATTTTTTCTAATTCGTGTAATATTTTCTGATTTTATGTTTGAGTGTTTAACATATTGGTCGGAGCACATGCATGTGTTTAATTTAATAAATTTGGACACACTTTAGAGAATTTACATTCTTTTCCAGGCAACTTACATGATTTTTGAGACATGCCAAATTCAAATTTATCTTTCTTTTAGCTTTTGTGCGATAGTCTTTGACTGATGTTCGAGCGTTTAGCACAATGATTGAAGCACAGGAGTACATTTTTTACTTCAAGTATTTGAATATTTAGAGAACTTGCATGCTTTTCTAAATGACTTCATGGTTTTTGAGGCATGATATTTTAGTTGATATTAGAGAACTTGCACGTTTTTCCAATGCATGCCAAGTTTTTTTTTGGAATTTGTAAAGAGCACTTTCTATCCATTTATATGTATGTGTTATGTAGTCAGTGGCGTATTGTGATCTATATTCTTGTTATGCATTAAAAAATAACATTTTTTGCTTGTATTAGTTCACTATTTGCTGAATTGCGAGTTGCCAATGAAAAATTCTTGTTCGTACCCGTATGTAAGTTTTCAAATTCTCTCTTTTCTCATTCTGTGTTCAAGCATGCGTCATGTTTCACTTTTTGAATTTTTATTTTTTAATTTCACATTCTCTTTTTCATCTTTTTTTGTTCATAAAATAATTTTCTTTTTTTGTTTTATCCTCTACAGACTTTGTTTTATCCCTATAAATAGATTGATTTTCTTTTCAAATTTGGCCCATCCACAAAGCAAGGTAGCGTTTATGCTGGACCATGCCCTTCAGTAAAATTTTAGGGGATTTACATACGTACCACTTGATTCTTATGTCTTTACACATCTAACATCTAAACTTTGATTTTTACATTTATACCGCCTAAATCTTTTGTATCACATAAAAAATATCACTATTTTAACATTTAAGTGTGAAATATACATTTTCATGTATAGGTAAGGCTGCATATATGTAAAAATTAATGTTTAGGTATAGATATGTAAGTATGTAAGATTTGAGTGGTTGGCATGCAAATCTTCCTAAAATTTTTAAGCCACTATGTGTTTCAATGACTGTTCAGCCATTGTTATAGTTGTTCTTATAGGCGTTCTTAAAGTAATGGAGTCAATGCATCCATGAAGAACTACAAGGATGCGGTTTTCAAATGAAATTTTAATAAATCTTTATCTTTTTGCTGTTGAAGGTAGCTGCCATAAACACAGCGATGGCGGCACTGACGAAAACTGTAAGCGTATTTCCGAAGGAACGAACGATCATAAATCGAGAGCACGCAAAAAGATCCTATGCTATGGGACCATATCTACTATCCAAATTGCTTGCCGAAATCCCCATTGGAGCAGCGTTTCCATTGATGTTTGGTTCAATCCTATATCCTATGGCTCGTCTTCATCCTTCCTTATCTCGGTAAGCCTCCTTTTGGTTTGTGCAGTATTTTCCGATGCTTGTTCATGTTCAAAACCAGAGCTTAACCAAGAATTTTAGAAAAAAACTCGGTTTGATGGTAGTTTTTTATAGCTTGATTGATGGCAAAGTTTGACCTATTTCATTTCGAATGAGAGAGCCTTGTGAAATTTAAGTTGGGAATTAGTAGAAGCTGAATTCAAATTATCGAGATCAGGAGTTGGAAGAAAGTAAAATGCACAAAACACTTCCAAAAATTTATTCATGTTCACCCATATGACTACATTATGCTGATTTAGGTTTCACAATGGTGATGAAAAATTTTACTTAGGAGGATTCGGAACGTATCCTTTATTGTTCTTTTAACCTGATCTTTCTTCAATAAAATATTAATAATGACCCACCTTTTATAATAAGGAAAAATTAGGGAAGTTGAATTGTGTGTAAAATCTCTAAAATATTATTAATAAAATTACTCCCAAATATTGGGTACCTTACTGAGAAAAACTTGTTTTTGCCGTACAATATTTAGACTTCACAGCAGAACAAATGTATGCCTAATAATAATCTAATTTGCTATACTTTTGCTGTATAGCTAAATTCTCTTAGACCAAGCCCAAGTCAAATCGTGAGCCGACCTTTATCAACTTGTCGATTCAATTTGTCATCTAAGTTTAGTATATCAATTCGGTTGGACAAATTAGCTCATGAGTTCATTCTGTCAATTTGACAATCCAGTTAGGCCAATCAATTTGGCAATTTATCTCGTCATACTAGTTGAGAAGGCTACTTCGACTGCTTCTTTTAACAAGTCAATTCGATTTCTTCAAACTCGTCAAGTGCCGAATAGTTCTCCGTGACGGATAAACAACCAGGCCACATGTCCAGTTATTTCATTTTATTTTGATGTGTTGCAATTTATTTAGAGTATCTTAATTCAACCCAATCCTATAAATAGGATAGGTTATCTTAATGTACAGGGGCAAATCTTTGTAATCTATTTCATACTTACTAAAAAATCCTACAGCTTTCTCCTCTTTTTTCCTCTCTATGTTCTTGTGTTCTTTTATTTGCACAACTCTTATCTAGGTGTTGTGAGGCTACAGACAGCTTGGGACCTAACAAGTGTTATCTAATTTAAGTATATATCTCAACAAATTCTTGGAAATTGTCAGCATTTGTTATATTTTTGTATTGGTCATACTATATATTTGGCAACTTTCGTATTATAGATGCCAACCTCAAAATCAAGTGAGCGTGCACGCTTTAAGAAATAAGTTTAAATCCATTAAGAACACTGAAAAAATGTAATAATCCCCACTTTATCAATAAGTGTTTCACTCGACCATGTACACTTCTAAAGATCGTACATAGTTAATACTTGTGAACCTTTGCTTATAGAACTTCAGATAGTCTGACTTCATTGTGGTTATTATTAGAAAAAAATTGGGTCAGTATAGATCCAAATTTTGATTAGGATGAATTTTAAAATCGTTGAATTTATTTTTAGGTTATTTTAATATAATTGTTGATTTATTCTTCATGTATTACATTTATCTTAAATAAAATCTAACAAATTTAAAATCCATTCTAAGTTATAACCAGATTTTGATAAGAATATCCCGAAGAAAATTTTTCTCTTTATTCATAACTTGGCAATCAGATTCATTGTAACCTTTTTGATAAAATTATGTTTCGAACTTATCAAAATGTTATTTTGTTGGTGCATACAATTTTATTTTTATTTGAATTTATTAAAATAAATGAAAAGATATTAATACCGATCGAAGAGAAAGTTGACGAGAGCGTCGGGGATTCCTCCGTCGTTGAATAGGAGGAAGAATACGAGGCATCTGTTCCCGCAGCAGAGTTCGAGGGTTGCGACAGTGGCTGAGGAAGATTCGCAGGAGGATGGATCGATGTGAGGATTTGATGATGGAGTGAAGGATGAATCATAGATCTCTCCACTTCAGACGGCGATGAAGCCGATGGAGAGGGATCGACGGGATCGTTTGATGCAGAGCGAGTGCTGGCGAGTTGAGCTTCCGATTCGCCGGAGTTAGCATGGGATTTGGAGGATCTGGTCTCTGTTTTGGCCGGAGAAGAGGGTTGGGTAGCGACCAACTTGCTGGAGAAGGATGGCGGGGGATTATGGGGAGTGGGAGAGGCGGGAAGATTTCTTTTATAGGCAGGTTTTGAGTTGGGCCGTTAATTTAGCTAGAAGATGGTTGATCGAAAATTGCTTTAAATTTTGGTTCTTTTCGAATTTGAATTGAAATAAATGAGTTTAATTATGAGCTAAAATTTCGAATTATTATTTTTTTAGTTGATTTTGAGCACATATGAATTGACTTGAACTCACTCAAAATTTGCTCGTAATATTTGTTATTTATAAAAATACATATATAATGTTAAATAAAATTGAATACAACTTCATTTGAGCCAGCTAGTTTTAATTTTGAGAAGAATTCAACCGGTCCGAGCCTAAACGGATCCAAATAACTCGAGCCAATTTTGATTTCAAGTCAGATCGAGCTGAATTCAATTTCGAGCCGGCTCAGCTCAAAATTGAATATAACGAACCACAAGCCGATTGCTAGCCACACTAAAACTATTCGAGTAAAATCCAACAACTCGAAAATTGAATTGTTTTTGAGTTCTGTCTAAAGCTTCAAAAATTTAAATGATTTTAGAGGTATTTACATGCATAGCACATTATGCATTCAAGAATCTAATACCTAAACTTTGTTTTTTTTATATTTAAAGCACCCAATTTTTTTCATATCACATCAAAAATCTTACTTTTTTCAACTTTTAAAAGTAAATATACATTTTTCATGCAGAGGAAAGTATATATATATAAATTGAAGTTTAGGTGTTAGTTATGTAAATACATATGGATTGAGTAGTATGTATGTAAAGCTTAGTTTTTTAATTTAAACTTTTATGGGGATTTATGTAGTAACGAAGATCTTCTATTTTCAGGGCATTTCAAGGTCTTTGTATTAATGAGTTCAGTGGCCTCCAGTTTGAGCATCAATATGCGTACGACATTCAAACCGGAGAACAGGTATGGATGCATGCACATCCACATTTAAATTCATACCAGTCAATTCTTATGTATTTACAGCTCTAACGCCTAAATTTTGGTTTTCCATTTATACCACCCAAATCTTTCATATTACATTAAAAATACCTCTTTTTTAACTTTTAAATAGTTAAATGGACCATTTTACATTTTATGCATAGATATGTAAAAATTGAAACTTAGGTGCTAGATATGTAAATAAATAGGAATTGAGTGGTATGTATGTAAATTTTTCATTTTTTATCTTGAAAAAAAAGTATTTAATTTTGATTTTTTAAAAAGTTTTTAATCTTTCGTTCATCATGTAAAAGTTGGGAAAAAATTTAAACCTAACTTGGAATGCCTTTCTATCATCGAGAAGACATATAGGGAGGAGTCTGACAACTCAACGACCTAAATAGTCAACGATTAATATCACCAATTACAAAGAGGCATTACATTACACATAGTGCCATTGTCAAAGCTATTATCAAAGTTTCCTTCAGAAAAAGAACAATATATGCTTATTCTAGCATGAGTGTAATACTTTATTGGAAATTCTCTTATGATGCAAGAACGCTTTTCCAAGTTATCATAAAGTTTCCCACTACAAGATAGATGAGTTTTTTTTTTTTTTTTTAGTTTATTTGGGTCAATATCGTGCTCTAAGCTGAGATCCCGAAAAAGATCTAAGCATCGTTGAAATTTCTTTTACAAGATAGGGGGCCTTCTCAATCATCTGGGTCAGTATCGCGCTAAATACTTGGAACCCAGTTATATCTACCAAGTATTGAAATCACTCTCTTGCCAAATAAGGGGGACAATCATTCTTGGTGGCATTGAACTCCAAGTCAAAAGCTATCATCTAGATGAGGGACAATCATTTTGAAATCTCTTACACATTCAAGTTAACATCATACTCAAAGCTGAGACTATTGAATGCTCTAAACACTGCAGTCCCTTCTATATCAGACAAGGGGCCCATCCTTTTTTGTTAAATACAAATTCAAGGCCGAGATACCATAGCCAGAAGGGTTGTCATCATTCCTAACACTGATTTCTTCCTTTATCTGGGTTGGCATCATGCTCATCATCAAGATCCCCAAGTAATTCGGGTGATATTGTGATTTATCTTTTGATCCCCGAGAGGATGTTCAACTTGTGTTTAGTTTAACAGTATAAAAAAGAGTTTCATACAACATGTATAAGATGATTTTAAAGGTTAGAGGCTCATCTTCAAAACTCGCTAATCAAGCGAGAAAATCTATTAAAACCTACAAACTCAGTTAGTTTAGTTGGACAAACATAAATTCTCTTATGCTCAAATCTAGGACTCAAACGTAGGGCAGACTCAACAGGCTGAGATACGATTGAGTTGTTGGTTTTTCTCTTCACTCAACAAATCAATGTAGTAGTGAAGAGCCCCACTTTTCATTCTGACGACTACAAAACACAAATCTGTTGCTACTGAAGTTTAAAATTCGTACAAAGGCTGGACTCATCAAACCAAGATGTGATCATTTTGCTGATTTTTCCCTTCACTCAACAAGCCAAGTCTGAAGTGAAAAACCTCCATTTATCAATATAACGATAACAAAAGCACAAGCTATCCAACTTAACATGGTCAAGTGATTTATAGATTCATCAAATTTCCTCAACTGATTAATGTATCAAGGCAAACCTAAATTATGATCATTACCCAAGAGATAATTTAATTGAGATTGAAATCATCATCAAGTTGAAATATTAACTTTCTTCAAAAGGTCCGATTAAGCATTAAACATAAACTTAAAGAATTTTGCTTTTTTTCAAAAAAGTTTGATGAAGTGTAAAGCATAAGACCAAAGAAGCTAGCTCAAACTTTATGTCAAATTTAAGACTAGTGAGAAATTCTTCATTGCTATCAAGATATAGGGACCTATATTTATTCTGGGTTGACATCGTGCTTTGGATTGAGATCCCCAAATTTATTCTATATCTTATCATTTGGTTCGACGTCGTGTCCATTACAAGTTCTCTAATTGAACATTTAACATATCCGTGTCAAATCTACATTCAAGTGAAGGTGCATAAATGTTTTTATCATTAGGTAAGTTAGACTGTATGTAATTTCAAAATTCAGAGGTTCTTTTCTCAGATCTATCACAATTTAGAAAGCCAAATGAGAGAATTTTGAGCTCATGATCTTCAACAAGTCAAGTTGGAGAAGTGCAAGTTTATTTGCAGCTCAAGTCCAGGACATAAACGGGCTCTGAAGGTCGAACTCAACAAGTCTAAATATGGCAGTCGCTGACAACTCTTTTCACTCAATAAGCTATAAAAACGGTTGGAGTGTTGATGTCCCTATTTTATACATCTAATGACAATAGTTGTCTTGCTGAAGTTTATCCAATTTGTAAGTTAAGTAATCAAAATTTTGATATTCTTATAACTGTCTCAATGAGTGAGGCAAAACCAAATAGATGATCCTCTCTTAGGCCCTGTAGGTGGAGGCGTTATCAAATTTATATCAGCAGGACATAACTATGGTCATTTCTCACTTCCCAATCAGTCGAGAATAATCAAATGAAGGATATTACCAATGCCCACCAGAAGAAAGATCATTGAATGCAAGTCAACATGAGTCAATTTTAGTTGTTTTTCACTCTCCATTACCAATTATTTTGCAAACCCAACAAATAGATTTTCAATCATTTAAAGAGCATAAGCTTGAGGAATTGTTAGAAGATATTTCTGTAAACTCTTTTGTAATACAAGAATGCATTTCTAACTCATAATAAAATCCCTCATATGACATGAGAATTTTTTTTAGTTTATTTGGGTTGACATCGTAATCAATGCCAAGATCTCCAAATATGTTTTATCAAACACTTTGTCAATCTTTTTGAGATTGATAATAAATTTATGGTTGAGATCCCCAACC